GTGCTTGTGAAGATGTTAGAGGTCCATTAGCAACCAATTGGCTCTGTCTCCGGGAGAGAATGTGATCGATGGGCAGAGCCAGGTAGAACTTTCTTAGGCCTTGCCCCTACTCCTGAACACTCCCTTGGAGCCGTTTCTCTTTTTGCATCCAGCATCATGGCTGGGGCTGTTCTTTGTAAAGGACCAAGAGCTTTAACGAACAGTTTAAGATATTGGTGAGACCATCTTCACCTTTGGTCCTAGCTTGCTCGGGGTAACCCCCCATGGAGAAGGTAAGCAGTAAATGAAGCAGCGAGCACCAGTGCAGGAGCCCAGGGCTGCAGACAAACCCATGTGCTGCTTCCGTCAGTGTGGCATGCTGGGAAAGCCGTCGTGCAGGGCATGCGGAGAACCTGCCAGCTTCAAAGGCAGCGGGCCACCTGCGCCATCCTCAGCTGCTTGTTGAAGGCCGGACACCTGCTCCTGAGAACCATCACTGTTGCTCGGGCCTGTTCCCTTGGGCTCTCCTCTCTTCCCAGTGCACATCAAACCCCATGCCAATTGCTCCTTCCGTTCTCTAGCCATGTGATGTGGGGTACGTTGCTTCATCTCTCTGTGTCTTGGTTTCCTTACCTGAGAAATGGGGGTAATGATAGCACCCATTCCATTAGCTTGACTGGTGGATTGTGTGAATTTATAGAGAGATCCACCGAGATCTACAGACAGGGATTTCCCTCCCTCCCTCCCTCCCTCCCTCCCTCCCTCCCTCCCTCCCTCCCTTCCTTCTTTCCTTCCTTCCTTCCCTCCCTCCCTCCCTCCCTCCCTCCCTCCTTCCTTCTTTACTCCTTTAGGGCTTGTCACAAAGCAGGAGACCCCAGGTTTGTGCTGCTGAGGACAGGGCTTGCTGACTCAAAGCATCATGGGAGCTGGCCCAGGGAGGAGGGCCAGGTGGGAGTGGGGGGCGCGCTGTGGGGACGCTGGGAGATCAGAGTGTATGGCCATCTTGGGAGGGGGAGCGGGCCTTCTCCACACCTTCTGGTTGTTGCCATGGCAGCTCCCTGCAGCCAGGTACTGAGCTGTTCTAAGAAAAGCCAAAAAATCCAATTTTGGATATAAAATATTCAAGTGTTAAATACTAGCAGTGAATCACAATATTGCAAAACAGGGTGTGGGCCAAAAAAGCAAACATAAGAGAGGAACATGCTGTGAACCCCAGCATGGGGGTTCTGGCTATGTCTGACCTGTGCCCCCTCCTGGCTGGGAGTTTCTGGGCAACCCCTCCATCTTCCCCAAACCATGCGGTGCATGTGGGTTTCCAGAATTCCCTCCTCTGAGCTCAGCCCCCTGCACGCCTCTGAATGTCTCCATGCTCCCTCTTTGCACGTGTCTCTCACCTGACCTCTGCATATCCTTCAGATAAGACTGAATCAGTTGCTTCTTCTCTTTTCTTGGTGGCAAACCCCAGGCCAATTGCTCCTTCCATTCTCTAGCCATGTGATGTGGGGTACGTTGCGTCATCTCTCTGTGTCTTGGTTACCTTACTTGAGAAATGGGGATAATGACAACACCCATTCCATTAGCTTGACTGGTGGATTGTGTGAATTTATAGAGAGATCCACCAAGATCTACAGACAGTGATTTCCCTTCCTTCCTTCCTTCCTTCCTTCCTTCCTTCCTTCCTTCCTTCCTTCCCTCCCACCTTCCTTCTTTTCTCCTTTCCTTCCTTCCCTTCCACACTCAGTAGCGCTCAGGGCTTACTCCTAGCTCTTCCTCAGGGATCACTCCTGGAGGGCTCAGGGAACCATTTGGAGTGGCTGGGCAATGAACCCAAGTAGGCGGAGTGTACCCTCTGTATTATTTCTTTGGCCCCAAACAGGGATTTTCTAGAAGGAAGAGCTAGTCTCTGATTCTTAATGAGGGCTTGTCACAAAGCAGGTGCTCATAAAACATGGGATCTCGTGAGGAAGTGGGGAGAAGCCAAATCTGTGGTCATTTGTTCCCAGTGAGATATGACCATAGTGATGCTTAGTGTAGTGGTGAGTTCAGGAGAATTCAATTCATCTGAACTCCCTACTTCAGCAAAGGCAACCCAGACAGCCCTCTCAAGAGACGAAAGAAGAAGCAATGATGACAGCACATACTATTAGTTGAGCAGGGAAAGTGCATCACTCATACATTATGGCAGCCTGGATAATGGGATGGCCTTGGGGCTGGAGAGAGATGGCACAGCGCTGCCTTGCATGCTTTCGACCAAGTTCAGTTCTGGCACCTCATAATGGTCCTCCTGGGCACCACCAGGAGTGATCCCTGATTGCAGAGCCAGGAGTAAGACCTAAGCACCATCAGCTATGCAGTGCCAAGAGCAAGGACAGGAGTATGTCGGGACGAGCAATCACGGGATGGGAATAAAAGAGCAATGTGGGGAGTTATTTGTAGCTTGACTAGAAATGGACACCAAAACCCTGCACATACATCAGGAGCATGTGGAACTGTGGGCAGTCTGGGTGAATGGTAGATTTTATCAATATCAGCTCTGCCATTGTAATAGCTCTGCAAGATGTTACCAGCACAGACTGAGTCAAGGATGTGCAGGATTCTTTGTGGAACTTGTTACAACTGCATGTGACTTCACAATGATCTCAAAATAAAAAATTTAATGAATGCATTAAAAAGAGATGGCGAGAGAGCCAAAGCAGAACAGAACCAAAGCAGCCAGAGCCAGTTGGCTAGTTTCCTGCTGAGTCTGACCATTGGCTATGTTTACCCTTTTGGTCAGCTCCCCCAGAGCCTGGGCACCTTGGCCCTCGACGTCAGGTTGCCGGGAGAAACCTGAAGAACAACCTGGGCTCCTGAGGGCTAGGTCAAGGCTGCCCCCTGGTCCTTAACCTCCCGGGCCATCTGTCCCCAGGGTGGGGAAGCAGAGCCCAGGAGCCCAGGGCTACCCCGAGCCTCGCAGTGACGGTGGGTGTTTCCACATTACACAGTCATGCATGTTCTCTGTCGCCTGGCAACCCCCTGTTTCCACCAGCCTCGCCGACCGGGCTTCCAGCCCCACGGCTGCTCCAGCCTGGCCTTCTCCATGCTTGCTGCTCTTGGTTATTAAGCTGATCATTGTTTTGACTTCTAGCTCGCTCTTTTCAGTCCTTGGACATCCTGTAAATTCTGGGAGGTGAATAGAATATTTCACTGGTGACAAAACAGGTTTAAGAGATCCTAGTTGTCCTGGATCCTTTCCCTTTGTGTTGGAGAGAGCTTAGGCTCTGGGCTGACTTGAAGAGGGGGACCGGGTCCCTTCAGACTGTCACATTTTGGAATTGTTGCCTGAGAACTGATACGAGCGAGAGGTGCAGTTTTGTACTTTGTTTTCATGTTCTTGTTTGCAGGACACAGAAATGCTCAGGGGTTACTCCTGGCTCTGTGCTCAGGGATCACTCCTGGCAGTGCCTGGAAGACCATATGGGGGCCCAGGGATCAAACCCAGGTGGGCCTACCTGCTGTAATATCGCTCTGGCCCCAGGATTTTTTTTCTTTTTGGGTCACACCCAGCGATGCACAGGGGTTACTCCTGGCTCTGCACTCAGGAATCACTCCTGGTTTTGCTCGAGGGACCATAGATGCTGGGAATCGAACGTGGGTCATCCGTGGGCAAGGCAAATGCCCTACCCCTGTGCTATCACTCCAGCAAGCCCCAGGATTTTTAATTTCTTAAGGGGATCCAAAGTAAACTTCAACTAATATTTTTGATAGTTCAGCAAATATCATGTTTTGGTTTCAAAACTCCTTTATATTCATGAAAATCAAGGATTCCAAAGAGCTTTTGTTTATATGGATTATATATGTCAGTATTTGCCATACTGTAAATTCATACTGAGAAATTAAAAATGTGGCATTACGTCCTTTAAAAGGAACAAGAACCTCATACAGTATAATATAATCCTTTATGCTATAACAACATCACAATAAATCCTTTTATGTAATAACAATATAACAATAAATCACTTATGTTACAACAGTATGACTGCTATGTAACAATGTAACAATATAACACCTTCTTGCCCTGACAATGTAACAATAACATACTCATATCTTTTAACTATATAACAAGTCTCATAACAACTTCAGCCCTTATTTGTTGTAACAATTGAAACACCAATAAATGGTAACTTGGTGGTTTACAAAGGTATTCGCTAAGGCTCATGTATAATCTATGCAATATATGGCACAAATCATATTGAATGGCCCATCAATGTGTTCTTCTCATCTAGCTCAATTATGTTTCTATTTAAAAACATGAAAAGGATCAGCCCTGTGGCTCAGAGGTGCAACCCTAGCCTTGCATGTATGAGGCCTGGGTCTCCTTCTTAGGGATGCAAAATTACCATCAAGTAGAAGTGTGTGTGTGTGTGTGTGTGTGTGTGTGTGTGTGTGTGTGTGTGTGTTTGTGTGTGTGTGTTGGGCGAGCGACTGGGGGTGGGGTGTATAGGGAGTGTTTGGGCCACACCTGATAGTGCTCAGGGCTGACTTCTGGCACTGTGTTCAGGAATCACTCCTGGGACCAGAGAGCATGGGGGCAGGGGTGGGGTGTGTGCATGAAATAGCCTTGCAAAGGAAAGAAACTGAGACATATAATTGGAAGAATGAGAAAAAATAACATTTATTTGGCACTGGTGCCAGCCCAGCGAAGTCTCCAAAAGCTCGCACCATCCCAGAGTTGTGGCTGCACTTGCAGGGATCTGTGCTTAGAGCTGGAGGGGACTGTGCAGGGAGGGATATACCTGTCCGGCTGAGTGACCTGTCAGAGTAAGACAGTGTAGAAATTTGCAGGCTCCCTGATTAGGACCAGGCCTCCCCTGAGCATCCTGTGGGGTGTCGGCAATCAAGTCCCAGCCAGCCGCTTGCAAAGCAAGTGCCCTACCCACTGCGCTATCTCCTCAGCCCCCAAAGAAAACTGTTGGGATCGGGGACGAGGTGGTCCGAGAGCAGCAAGCCTGACATGCCCATTCTTGTGTCCCCACCCGCAGGCCCCACCATGAGGCCCCAGCCCCGCGGGAGCCCCCGTGCTCCCTTGGCCCCGAGCGCGCCCTGCTAGCCCGCCGCCAGGGGCGAAGAAGGGGGGAGGCGCGGTGGCCATGGCCAGCCACGTGGACCTGCTGACCGAGCTGCAGCTGCTGGAGAAGGTGCCCACGTTGGAGCGGCTGCGGGCCGCCCAGAAGCGCCGGGCGCAGCAGCTGAAGAAGTGGGCGCAGTACGAGCACGACCTGCAGCACCGCAAACGCAAGCATGAGCGGAAGCGCAGCGCGGGCGGCCGCCGCAAGAAGGTGGCCTTCGAGGCTAGCGTGGCGCTGCTGGAGGCCTCGCTGAGGAACGACGCCGAGGAAGGTAGGCCGTGTCGGTGGTGGTGGGGGGTGTTGTGGTGGGGGTTATGCTCAGGGTGTGGCAGCCTGGACCGGCCAGCACCTTTATCTTACAAAGCGAGGCTGTCCAGAGCAGACGCTGTAGGCAACTAAGAACCTGGGCTAGGGGTTCATGAAGACTTACCTGTGTGCTTCTGCCTCTGCAGACACTTCCTGGCCAGCCACCCGTGTCTCGCGGGACTCTTATACTCATTTCCACCTCGGAGTCTATGCATACACCCCAGCCCCCTCCATCCTGCCAGCCTACCGTGCTGACTGTGTCATGGGGTTCAAGACGGTGACCCCAAAGGCTCTACAACTTGGCATCAGTTACTCCCTTGGGGACCCGGGCAGCTCAGGGTCTTAATTTCCACCCATGGGAATCAGGCTGATGATCCTCTACACGGGCTGATTAGGAAGGTTGGGGTAGAGACAAACCCCTCACCCACCCCCAAGTTGTGTGGCGTGCGCCCTCACATTGTGTGACTGCTGGCTATAGGTTCTATTTTTATGATCTTACTCTGTTTTATTTATATGACGAGTTTGTTTTGTTTAGAGGATGCCCATAAAGTCTGGATTCAGAGATGGGTGTGCAGCGCGCTCTCTAGGACGTTTTCGTTCTATAAAGGGAACCGAGAAATAAAATCCCACACGCATCCTCGGAGCATCTCTCCAGTTTCTATCTGTAGCAAGCACAGGAACCCCCGAATGCTATTACTGTCTTCTCACATGATGGATCAGATACCCCAGTACCCAGGAGGCGGGTCTGTTTTTTTGTTGGGGAGGGGCACACCCAGTGGTCATCAGGGGCTGGTGCGGTTTTGGGGATCAAGCCCAGGCCTCCAGCCTCTAAGGTGTGTGCTCCAGCCCTCTCTCTCTCTGGCCCCTGAAAGCTGGTTGGTTTCCACTCCTTTTACAGATGGGGAAACTGAGTCTCAGAGAGGTTCCGAACCCTGAGCACAGCAGCAGAGGAAGGATCCCAGGGACCAGGCTGTGTCCTCAGTCTCCTGGCCTTATAGGTCTGCATCCTGATGTGGGAATGTGAGGATATCCGTGATCCGGCCTGAGCGCCCCACCCCACCCTAAGCATGCTTGCGGGTGAGGTCATACATAGCCAAGAAGCCCACTCACCCAGCATCTGGTCCCCCCTGGTCTGCAGGTCCTGGTTGCCCTCAGACCCTTGACACTACAGCCAGATGGGTGGTGCCACTTCCCACCCGGGGAAGGGGCCGGGGTGACGCTTTCTGATTCTCCTATCTTTGAGAAGTGACTCCCACCTCTGTTCTGGTGACTGAGCACTGGGAAGTGAGCTGAGAGGCCTTTATGGACTCCCTTGGTGGGAATCAGCTCTGCTCCAAGCCTGGGGTGAGTGAGCCCCCCAGGGAGAAGTGTGACTCAGTCAGGGGACAGCGCCCCGGAGGCTCCTTCCCACAAGTGACAGCTGTGTGACGTGCGGGCCTGTCCCACTCAGGGGGCGGCTCGTCCTGATATCTGTGGTGGGCGTCGCCTCATCAGCTCCTGCCTCACCCTCTTCCATGCTGCCTCCCTGACAAGGTCCTGTTTCCCCTGGAGGGCTCCTCTGGGAGCTGGTCGTGGGGCTTCAGAGACTCGGTGACCCCAATCCCTCCCCTCCCAGCCCCCTAGGCTATAATACTCTCTCCTGTCTGGTTGGAAAGAGCACTGGTCTGGGAGTCCAGGGATCAGACCCCTCCTCTCCACCTGAAGTCCTGCCCAGGACCTTTCTGGGTCCAGCTTCTTAATCTACTAAGGGGGAGTGTTAAACTTTGCATTGATGGATGGGGCACTTAAATGATTGAGTGATTATCATTTTATCACACTTTTTCTGTTTTTGGTCTTTTTTGGGGGGGGGTTGGGGGGGTCACATCCGGCAATGCACAGGGGTTACTCCTGGCTCTGCACTCAGGAATTACTCCTGGCAGTGCTTGGGGGACCATATGGGATGCTGGGAATCGAACCCGGGTCAGCCGCATGCAAGGCAAACGCAGTACCTGCTGTACTATTGTTCCAGCCCCCCTTTTTTAAAACAGAAGAGCCCAGTTAGATCCCAACACATTCTTCTTGTAAAAAGCCAACTACCGAGAGGAGTACAGAGTAAAACTTCCTCCTCTTCCTCCCTCCTTCCTATCATGACAACTGATATTCATCTGATGGGTTGTCTTCCAGATGTTTTTTTCATTTACTTAGCCTTCTAAGAGAAATCTAAGAGTTTGGTTTGGGGTGCTTGATGGTGCTTCTTTTTTATTTCTATGCTGGTAATGACATCCTGGATGAATTTGATTGCAATTTTCTATCTTTGTTCACTTAGTATTATCTCACGGATAGGTTTCCATGTCAGGACATGGGGTGGTGGGATAATAGATGGGCCCTGTTCTTTTTACCCACTGTATAGAATTCCACAACACAAACTTGGCAACATTAAAAAATATAATAACCAAGTTCATATTGATGGGCATATAGGTATTTTTCTTAGTTTTGCTTTTGCCCACTGACTATGCACATGTTAAGGTTAATCTAGGACAGATTCGGAAATGTGCAAGAACTGAATCCCAAGACATGTGTATTCAGTTTCAATGAACAACGAATGTATTAGAGCCTATGGGCAGCCCCTGCCCCGGGCCTCCTGGATCTGGGGACCAAGACAATGAGGATGGAGGGCAGAGCTCTGCCCTGTGGCAGGCTGTGGGGTTGAGGACGTCTCTGCTGGCCGTTCCCGTGGCTGAGTGTGCGGTGGCATGGACCTGCCCTTCCCGCTCGGGGCTGTGTCCCCGCTTGGCTGGGCTTCCTGGCAGCGCGGCAGGTCCTGCTGCTCCCAGCTGGCTGGGAGGCTTCTGCGAGCTGGGGGAGCTGGTGCCGGGGAGGCTCCGGGGGCGTCAGCTCGCAGCGGGATGGGAACGCGGGTGGCAGCTCCTCCGCTCCCCTGAGCTCACAGCAGCGGCTGACTCAACCTCCTCCACTTGCGAGGCCATCGTGAGTCATCGCAGAGGAAGGCGAGGCTGAGGCTTCTTCAGGCCCAGCTCTGGTTCTGCGTTACCTCTGAGCTGATGTCTGGGCTATTGGGGGATCCCTACTGGGCCTCACACCTGCCAGAGCCACACCTGTCATGCCCCTGCCGCTCGGGTTTCTCGAATCCTCTCACCTCCCCTACCTCTGTAGCTCCACTTTCCTCCCCGGCCACTCCATGCCCCAGCGAATACTGAGAGCACTTCCAGTTGGGGTCCAGACCTTCCTTGGAAGCCCCCCTCACCCACTCCATCTCAGTTGGAGCAGGGACGTTGGCATGTACTAGAGGGGCCATGCAGGGTTGCAGGAACAAGTCACCCACCACTCAAACCCCTGCTGTGCTAGGCAGCTGCCAAGCAATCTTAAGAAAATTACTTAAATTTCTGCTGCCTCAATTTACCCCTCTGCAAAGATGAGTAGGCCATGACACAAATAGATCCAGGGTGTGGTGGGCCTCCATGAGTTGGCCCGGGTAGCCATGGGCTGAGAACTGTCAGTGGTGATTGAGGTCTGTGGTTGGTGAATTTCTACACCGTGGAGTCTGCTGTGATCTCCGCTGGTGCTCTTTGTTATTGCTAGAGTGCTGCTTCTGCTAGGCAGCTACTGTCCAGACATCCCTGTCGAGCTTGTAGTCTGTCCCCATTTCACTGAGGTTTCATTCACACATCATGAAAAGCACAGCACGGGACCAGTATGACAATGATAGTTGGAAATGATCACTGTGGACAAGGACTGAGCATTGAAAGTAGACAAAAAGGATATGCAGGATAACCTTTCAGTACCTGTATTTGCAAAACATAATACACAAAAGGAGAGAGAGAGAGAGACAGAGAGAGAGAGAGAGAGGGGTGTCTGTCATAGGGGTGAGAGGGAAACTGGGGACATTATTGGTGGGAAATGTACACTGGTAAAGGGATGAGTATTGGAACAATATGAGACTGAAACCCAACTATGAACAACTTTGTGACTGCGTATCTCAGTGATTCAATTAAAAAATAAAAATTAAAAAAATTGACACCTTAAAAAGAAAAGAGCATTCTGTCCCTCTGAGAAGAAACTTGTGTTTGTTCTCTCAGTTCCCATCCTTTCCCACCCCCAGGCCACCACTGCTGTCTCTTCTGCTTCTGTAAGTTCACTTTTCTGGCTAGTGCGTTAAGACATAGCCCCCGACCACGTGATCTCTTGTGATCAGCTTCTCCCATTGACAGTAATGTTTTCAGGCTGCCGGTGATAGCTGGTATCAGGACCCATCCCATTCCCTTACCCACAGTGTTTCATTGTATGGATGTACCACATTCGTTCATCCCTTTACTAACAGATGAACATTTGGGTTGTTGTTTCCATTTTGGGTCAGGATGAATCAGTCTGTTAAGAAGCATTTGTGAGCAAGTCTTGGCATGGATATGTTTTCATTTCTAGTTTGCCTAGGAAGGGAATTTCTGGGTCATATTGTAAATTTCCTCCCTCCCTCCCTCTCTCCCTCCCTCTCTCCCTCCCTCCTTCCTTCGTTTCTTTTTCGTTCACACCCATTGGTGCTCAAGATTTGGTTAGAGATCTTTTCCTGGTGGGGCTTGGGACACTCAATAGGATGCTAAGGATTGAACAGGGGTTGACTACATGCAAGGCTAGCGCCCTACCTGCTGTACTATCTCTCCACCCAACCTTTCTTCTTTTTCTTCCCTGCCTGTCTCTTTTGTTGGTGATGTTCTACAATTATGGGGGTGGGAGTTTAGGAGGGTGGTCTGCCCGAGGACTGTGTCAGATTGCCATCAGCATATGGGAGATCCTGGCAATTAACCTTTGGCCACTGAACCACATTCCCGAGCTCCTGTATTGAACATTTAAGAAACTACTAAACTAATAGTGACACCATTTAAATTCTCAAGTCTCTCTGAAGGTAAATGTCACTTGCCAAGACCTCACAGTGAGTATGCCCTAGATTGGTTGATGCTGAAGACTATGGTT